AAAAAAAAATGAATCGGTCAAGGATAAAGCCAACATAAATTGTCAATAGGCAATGGAAGTATGGAGGCAATTAGGCAGAAATAGGACAGAACTCACTGTGCCATCTGTTCATTTGCTAGAAGAAGACCTTCGAGCCTGATAGGAAACTTTAAGTCCACAATCGCAACAACGTTCTGTATGCGGAAGTTTATGAATAACACCTAAACATGATTTGAATAAAGGAAATAAGTGAAACTAAAAGTCTAGGACAAACTGATGCAGTAGGATAACCTTTTCGAAAGTAGGCCAAAGGTCGATAACAAATAAGAAAGGCTTTAAATGAGAGAAAACATTCCCCAAAATGGCTGCTCCGGAAAAGACTTTTAATCTTCCAATTCAAAACGACAATATTACACGTAGTCTTGACGTGTTTTTTAAGTTGCCTTAATTTCTTTTAATTTATTTATACTAGTTTTACTCACTTATACGTCACCGTTCTCGATCTATTTATATAATTTAGGTACAGACAGCCTGATACCCCTCATAAAATGATGAAATTTGCCGACAGTTGGGGCTACTGTGAAACGAGCTAACTTCGTTTCCCGGCTCAGTGAAAAATGGGTGTTAGGGATGAATTTTTCAAGTACTGCAAACATATTCGACGAGTTTCATACCCAGGACTCGCATTGCCGTGCATTTTCGGGCATTTTTTGAACAAAAAGACTTTTCTTTATAGTTCCTTCCAAGTATGTTTGCATTAGTTGCGACGTAAGTTAAAAGAATTTCAAACTTATTGCCAAAAAATAAAAAAATCTTACAGGGAAGCCAAGCTTTTGAAGAACACGTGCGCATTTTCTTGCGCCGAGGTTGTTTTGTTCTTCCGACCTGCCACCTGTGCAAACCATTTTTCCAGTACCAAAGATGAGGCAGGTGACTCGAGGTTCTCTCAGTCGAACAACACAGCCGGGGAATCTTCGTGGATTGTATTCAGCATTGCGAATGTATAGAACAACCTTTCTCAACTCAATTTGACACCCAAGATCAACAGAGGACACCACATTACTAAATAATTGTCAGAAAATAAACCAATACTCACTATACAGTTGGCTTGCAAATTCCATCAAGCAACTCGACTTGGGGTTTCGATGGAACAAACCGACTTATTGTTATCTCAGAGGCCTCAGCCTCACTTTTGGGCTCCATTCC